ATATATGTAAGTAGAGGACCTTTTGTGAGCCATGATCTTTGTGGCATTTATTTTGGCTATTTAGACCACATATTTTGGCTATTTAGACATTCTTCCAATTCTTACCTCTCTTCTGTCCTTGAATTCTTCATAGTTGAAATTGCTGCATAGGTGATTTTTGGAGAATTGAGGCTTTATTTTCTTATGATGTTGTAGATTTAATTTTATCCTGCGTAATAGGTGAATTGTGGATATTTGCTATGTAGTATTGCAATAAAACAGGTGTCACCAAAATCAAGAAGTATTTACATTTTTGTGAAAAGCATGTGGATTTCATTTTTATATTTTCTTTTAATACCTTAAGGTGCCATGTATATATTTTATCAAGAGGTATATACTTTTTGAATTTGAATACAATGTTATGTGTAATTTGCCAAGTTTAAAACATTAAGTTATTGTTTTCAACTGATTTAATTTGGGTTTAAAATATTGGGTTATTAAACTAGAAAGTTGTGTGAAATAGTATATAATTAAAAGTTATATTAAAATATATTTTAAAATTTATTTTTACAAATTAAGATTTTGTTGACTTCAATTTGTATTTTAAAATTTAGTTTTAAATTTGATATATTTGTATCTGTCCAGTTGAGCTATCATACATAGTATCATCTTTAATATTTAGAGAATAAATGTTTCAGAAGAAAATTACCGTTTTGTTTTAAATGTGATAGCTAAGAATGCAGAGTTTCTATAAATACCATATTTTCTAATAGAATTTACCTTTGGTTTTAATAGAGAGCAAATAGGATCCACTTCACAGTGTTAGCACATTTTGGTTAAAAGAGAGAGAGAGAGAGATTTATACTTCTGTTATAGTAGGTTATATGTGTAAGTGAATTTTACATGTAATCATATATGTTTATATGTATTTTGCCATGAGGTGGGAAGAACTAATTATAAAGAGCCAATTTAGATATTTCAGAATATAACCTGAGTAGAGTCTGTATTACTTAACTTTTAAAATCAAGGTTTTCCCCCAAATCCTTTGAAATATTTATGAATTTTAATATGACCATACTTAAGAAAATTGTCAAAAGGTACAGCTTCTTCTCAGGTGGTCCCAAACTAGGCATAGGATAGAGGAAAAAAGAAATTAAGTTCTAATTTACTCTATTTTGTTAAAGTTTTTAGTGTTTAGGTTTGTACTAATATAGACAAGTATTTCATATTATTTTTAAACAAAGAACATTTGTAAACTTGAGGAGAAATTGATGTGTCTTAGTCGATTTTCTACTGTTTATAACAGAATACCTGAAACTGGGTAATTTATAAAGAAATGAAATTTTTTTCATACAGCTCTGGGGGCTGGGAAGTCCAAGGTTGAGGGGGCATATCTGGTGAGGGCCTTCTTGATGACAGGGGACTCTTGTAGAGTCTCGAGGTAGCATAGGGCATCACATGGCAAAGGGACTGATCAAAGCAGCTCAGGTCTCTCATCCTCTTCTTATAATGTCATCAGTCCCACTCCCATGAAAATCCATTAATCCATGAATGAATTAACCTATTAATCCAGTCACCTCTTAAAGACTCCACTTCTCAATATTGCCACATTGGGGATTAAGTTTCAGTAACAGTTTTGGTGGGGACAAACTGTATTCAAACTATAGTATAATGTATATGTATAATTTGAATGAAATGAGATGGCTAGGTCAATAACATTCTTTCACTCAATGAAATGATCATTCTAACCTAAAATAGCAACATCTGGTCAAATCAAAGACAGTAAAGTACTTGAGTTATGACACAAAATATCATTTGTCTGTAATATTACCACCTAGGAAGTTTTACCCATATTTTGTTACTTGGTGATACATGTTTTTATTCCTATTTAAATAAAGAAATTTTACTCTACAAAAGTTGAATGTTAAGTGTGTTAATTAGTTTTTGTTTTCTGATTATTAATTTTTTTATTCTCTATTCTCTATAGTTTAGTAGTGTTGTAGTAGCTTTTTTTTTTCTCTTTTGTAGAATGGAAGTAGTTATCTGAATTGTATTATGTCAGCTAGGTAGAATTCAACTATTTTAACTATTTGAGAAATGAATTATTTTGTGTATAGTACGACTTTATTTTACCTTCTAGATAAATTGACTGTTACAATTTCAGACATATTTTCTCACAGAAGACTGTCTCTGACCTCTAAATCTCTCCTTACATTCAGAATAAAGAGCATTCTTTTCTTCATTGGTGTGTCTTTTGTATGCATGTATATAATTCTTCCATGTACCCCCTTGGAAAAAAGTACAGTGGACATTAATCCATTTGACATGAGCTTTAAAAATATGTTTAAAGTACCCATTTCTTTGGGTGAACTTATAAATTGAGTAGTGCTTAGCATTTTAGAAGAATTCACTCACTGAAAATTCCTTGCCGTGGTAAAAGTGTCCAAATTATTTAGTTGATTATTGTTGTTACTGTGATATAGTAGAATGAGCCACCTCAGTGGCAAGGACTTATTTGATGATGATTTTGTTAGAACTAGTTAGCAGTTTAAATGAGATACCTGATTTAAACAAGAGAAGGAGATTGATGCATAGAAAATTTACTTATTTTTATGAAGTAGAAATAGTACCTCCCTAAATTACCTTTTAAAAACCAAATGATACATTCTAAAGCACTTGAAAAATTTGTGTTTTACAAATTAAGTGTTGTTTGATTTCATCTTCTTAGTGGCAATGGGGTCTCAAAACTCATGGTCATTCACAGATTCAAAACTGAAGCTGCAAATTTAGAGTCACATAACAGAACTGATGTGTTATATTCTGGTGAATTTGCTAGAGTTCAGATTCATACCCTTAGCTTTGTTAGACTACATTATAGAAATGCGTATTGATTGATAACTCATTTTCTTATTGTAGTGCAGTTAGTGCATCTGAACATCTAGAGCCTGAAGACTTTTGTAAAGTCAGGTTTTAACTTTTACCTCCCTCAGTATAGGAGATGATAGGAATTTTTAGGAGACAGGAAACAGATGAGATCATGAGTACAAGATGGGGACACAGACTAATTTGGGGCTTGGAGGAATGGTTTGTGGTTTTGAGAAGTGAATTTGTGACAATTTATGAAAATGGAAGCTTAGAATACTGGTAAATAAACTTACTCAGGAATTAATGTGTCATTATTATATTGCTTTGCTGATTATGATAAAAAGTACAATTCTCTAATGTCTTAAATTATTCTATTACAGTGGAATTTTTTTTTTTTCCTTTTTGTCTTTTTTTACTGACCGGTAACGGGATCGCAACCCTCAGTGTCGCGCCCGTACCGGGGACCGGCAATGGGATCGCAACCCTTGGTGTTGCGTCCGCACTGCGCTCAGCCAGTGAGCGGGAACCGGTCTCCACATGGGATCTGAACCCTCGGCGGGAGCGCCGCCGCGCTCCCAAGTGGTGCACTCTCCAGTGCGCCACCGGGCCGGCCCAAATTTTTTTTTTTTTTTTTTTTTAAAGATGACCGGTAAGGGGATCTTAACCCTTGACTTGGTGTTGTCAGCCCCACGCTCTCCCAAGTGAGCTAATTGGCCATCATTATATAGGGTTCTGAACACGTGGCCTTGGTGTTATCAGCACCACACTCTCCCAAGTGAGCCACGGGCCGGCCCTTACAGTGGAATTTTTATTATCACATTTCTGGAAATATGTGGGTTGGGGCTTACATACTTTGTTACATGATGGTTACTGTACCAGCTGTAACTGTGAGGATTCATCTTTCAGTGTGCATAATCTGTGTCCATTATGTGATGAAAAGTTGACCATCCAGGTTTGGTTGGGATATAGAAGACTTTCAGTTTTAAAACTGGAATAGTCCTGGGCAAACTGGAACAAATTGGTCTCCTAAATGTAGTGGACACACAAGTTAATCCAGAGAAAAAGATAATTAGGATTTTGTTTAAAGTTTATTTATTTATTTATTTATTTTTAGTTTTTTATTTTTTTCGTTTTTGTGACCGGTAAGGGGATCGCAACCCTTGGCTTGGTGTCGCCCGTACTGCGCTCAGCCAGTGAGCGCACTGGCCATCCCTATATAGGATCCGAACCCGCGGCGGGAGTGCTGCTGCGCACCCAAGCGCTGCACTCTCCCGAGTGCGCCACGGGGCCGGCCCTTAAAGTTTATTTATTAAAAGAACTTGTTTTGCTTAAAATAAGACTCAACTTGTTTACTAGTGTTAGTATACAAAAATGCATAGCTTTCTTTGTCAGGATTTAAATATACTTGTGAAAATTTGGGTATCAGTGAATCTTGAGGTATAGGCTGCTTTATTTTGGCTGTTTGAATGCCACCCATTTGCTAGGTAGGCAGGTTTATATAATTATTAAGTTTTCTTCAGCAGTCTGAGGTAAAACTGCAGTTAAGGAAACCAAAACTCAAGGAATTTAAGTGATTTCTGAAGACCACATAGCTGGTAGATAGCAAAGGTAAATTTGGGACTGAGGATTCCTGATTCTCAGATTCTAGTAGATCTCAGAGTTAATAATAGAAATGTAAACAGGTAAGATCTGGAAAGGAAGATCATCCTGGTGTCCTTTTAGACATACAAACCACTAGTGATGGTTAAATGTAACTTTTTCAGAGGGTCTATTTTTGGAAATTCTCATAAAAAGGTATGAATCATCACATTAGAAAAATGCAGGTATACCAACTTTTGAATATAATTTCAGTGACATTAGAGATCAAATAATGAATTTCTGTATTATAATGAGATGTCATAGTTGTCTAGAATTATGCTGTTTATCTGAACGGTGTTTTCATAAGCAGTGCATAGAAATAGAAAAGTAAAATAGCTTGATTTAGCGTAGGTTTTTTTTAATGACTTATTTGTTCTTATTTGTTATTGTTAGTAAAGGCTTTTGTGTTTTGTTTTGCTTGCCTCATATTATGTTCCAATGCTGAGACAATATAAGTTATTGTTACACAGTGATAACAAGCCTTATGTGTAACTTTTAATTAAATTCATATTCTTCAGGTAAAAAGAACGTATTCTCATGGTACTTACAGAGCTGGCCCAATGCGACAGATAAGCTTGGTGGGAGCAGTTGATGAAGAAGTGGGAGATTACTTCCCTGAGTTCCTTGACATGTTGGAAGATTCACCATTTTTAAAAGTAAGAGGAAACAATATCAGTAATTAAACTTTGGATGTTACTTTCATGCTACAGGTGACAACAAATGAAAGGCTATTTCAGAATTATAAAAATTTTGGTTTTATTTGAACTGGAGGGATGGAAATAAAGAGAGGGGAAACAGAATAATTCTTGTGTAGAGTGTACATGTAACTTCTCTGGTCCTAATTACAATGGCAAAGCTAAGTGGTGAACCAGAAACTAACACTTACTTGTTATTGCTGCTTTAGGAAATTAGGTTCCATCTGTTTATCAGCTCTTTATAAATTGAGTGCCAAAGGATTTAAGAAGTAAAGGAAAGGTGCCTACTAAGTTAAAATATTTAGGACAGGGCCGAGCCCGTGGTGCACTCGGGAGAGTGCGGCGCTGGGAGCGCAGCAGTGCTCCCGCCGCGGGTTCGGATCCTATATAGGGATGGCCGGTGCGCTCACTGGCTGAGTGCGGTGCGGCCGGTCTCAAAAAGGACCAAAAAAAAAAAAAAAATTTAGGACAAAGGAATGGCAGTTTGGCATTGTGGAAAACTGGTCTGGGAAATTGTACATCTGTATTTCAGCCTTGGCTATACCTAATTGGGTTGGGTATAGTTTCTTTATCCATAAATTAAGGTGTTCAGATCATGTAGCTTAAGGCCCCTTTAAATTCTTTAAGTAATTTCCAGCCAGATTCCTGCCAACCCACCCAACTTTTTTTCTAACAGCCTCTGTATTCCAGAAAATGTTTCTTATTGTGGACTACTGGGGCTATCCCACTGAGAGAGAAAGCTCTGAGCTGTGTAATTAGGTTAATTATTTAATCAGTAATTCAAAGGTTAGTGTGAACCTACACTAAAATTCAGGGTCCACTTGAGCAGCAAAATGTCACAAGATCAGTTTATCTCTAATACTCAACACATCATCTATTGAAACGTTTTTTTTTTCCCATTTCTACTTGCTCAGATTTCTATCCCATATGTGTATATATATTTCTCTTTCTTTTTTACCCTGTTCCATTTCCCTATCTTTTCCTTTTTTATTTCTTTTAAACTTTTTGTTTCTTTTCTATTTCCCCCAACTAGTCACATCATGGAATTTGGTTGCATTTATTATTGAATGATATTTTAAAAAGCATTACTGAATACTATTTAAATAGTTGCTTCAAATTTAATTTTCAAAGCAAATGAGCCAAATGAGTTATTTATAGAGAAATTTAATCTGACAATTCTCCTTTTCCAAAAGATGGTTTATGGGATGAATTTTTTTTTTAAATCCATTCTCACCATTCCATGAGCAATGGCCCTCAGTTATATCTTTTTCCCTTACCTTCCTCTCCTTCCCCTTCCCCCCTCCCTCCCCTTTCTCCTCTTTTTCTTTGGCTCTCTCTCTCAGTCTCTCTTTTCTGTTCTGTTCTTTAAAATATTCTTATCTCTGGTAAAGGCAAACAACCTCTTCAAGAAACTACTAAAGTAAATTTTGGTTTTGGTTTGGTTTTGCTTTTTGTTTTGTTAGTTTTTGATTATCATTAATCAAAGAGGTGTCCATTTTTCTAAACTCAAATTTAATTGTTCATTTTTATAGATTCTTATGGAGAGCACTTGCTTTTTTGGTCATCCTGTTAACATCATATGATCCATATGTTTGGAAGGAAGAATAACAAATGATGAATACAGTGAATCATACCTCTGGCAGGGTGGGGGGAGGGAACCATCCAAGCATAATTATTCTCTTGGTGTGTTTGAAATAGAATTTTTTGAAGCAAAATATATGAACATGTAAGAATATTCAAAATAGGTATATATTTCAAATGATTAAGTATAAAGGTGTATATGAAAGTGTGTTTGTCAGGGGAGCAATATTCTTTAATGAATACTTGAAGATACATTTTGAAATAATTGATTTCTATGTAATTATTTGTCTCTAGTGTACACTGCCATGGGGGACACTATCTAGTCTAAAATTAGAGAGTCGAAAAGATAGTGATGATGGTCCCATCATGTGGGTACGTCCAGGAGAACAAATGATCCCTGTGGCTGATATGCCAAAGTCACCTTTCAAAAGGAAAAGGTATGTTGGATATGACTTTTTATTGCTGGGGATAGGTGTTTGTATGCTGGTGTGTATGTGTGTTAGTTGAAAATCGGGGGAAAGGAAAGTTTAGAGAAAAATGGGAATTTAAATTAAAAAATAGCTACACGTGCTGATGTAATTTGTTACAAAGGATCAAATATAATTAAGATATGAGAAATGTAGGGAAATGAATAAATTGTAATTAGGGCGGAAAAATGTCATTCATACAGAGATTATAAACTATTTTGGAATAAATTTAACAAATATTCAGAACCTGTATTAAGAAAACTAAAACATCTTATGGAGGTATAAAACAAGATCAAAACAAGTAGAAAACCCTACTGTGGATAAAAATGATAGTTCTTTGAATTTTTTTCATTTCATTTGGACTCACACTCCTAGTACTGAATAAAATGATTTTAAAGTTCATAAAGGAAAAAAACTGAAAGAGAAGTGAGGAAGAACTTGTGTCATTAGATATTAAAAATTACTATAAAGCTTAATCATTGGAATAGGATAGAGTCCAGAAGTAGATCTGAGTATATAGTAAATTTAATACATGAAGTAGATGGGAAATGGAAGATTTATTTAATGAATAATGCTGGCATAATTGGCAGCTCATCTGAAAGGAGAGAAAGGCAGAGCCCCTACATCATACAAGAAATAAGGCAAAGATTTAAACATAACAGATAAAACAGTAAAAATATTAGAATTAAATTTTTTTTTTTTTGTCGTTTTTGTGACCGGTAAGGGGATGCAACCCTTGGCTTGGTGTCACCCGCACTGCGCTCAGCCAGTGAGCGCACCGGCCATCCCTATATAGGATCCGAACCCGCGGCAGGAGCGCTGCTGCGCTCCCAGCGCCACACTCTCCCGAGTGCGCCACAGGGCCGGCCCTAGAATTAAAATTTTAAGCCTGTGAGAGTTCTTCATAAGCAAGCCAAAAAATATATAGTGGCAATACTGTTTGGAGAGAAGAGATATCAACAACAAAGTTCAAAACTGTGATAGATTGGACTAAAACTTTCATAACATGTGACAGACAGTTCATATAGAAAGAGCATTTTCAGATTGACCAGAGAAGTGTGAACAACCCAGTAGAAAAATAGACCTTAGGCAGATAAGTGTATTTTAAAATAACTATAAGATATTTTTACTCATTATATTGGCAAAATTATTAATAGAGCAATAATATTATAAGCTAGTAGGATGTGAAGAAACAAATCTTTTGAATTATTGACAGAAGAGTGAGCTGGCTTAATTTTGTGAAAGTAATCTGGCAATATCTCATGAAATTTACCATATAATTCTTTGATCTAGCTCCCCTCCTTTTGGGAATCCCCCCAAATAAAAGCATTAAAGGTAAATATGTAAGAATATAAGTTGTAGCGTTGTTTATGGTGAGAAAAAAATTAAAACGTCTAAATGCCCACCAACAGGGGAATAGTTGAATGTTTCATACATTCTTATTAAAGAGTATGGTGAGATAGTTAAAACAGTTTTTTATGTCTTTTGATCGGGAAGGATATCCATGACTCTTGAATAAAATGTACAGTAATGTGTCTGATATGATTTTAGTTTTATGAAAATAAATACAAAAACCCATGTGTAAATGTATATTTATGTGATTACAGAAAAAGGTGTGAAAAAATGTACAGTAGGTTAACATTGGTGGGAATGGAGGGGGTGATGCTGAGGGATATAATAGCTTTTCTTTAGATACCTAAAGGTAGTTTTACTGGTTATAGTGATTATTAATAAAAGAAGAAAAAAGTCATTGAGTAAACTGTAGATTTCATGACAGCAGGGACTATGTTAGGCTTGTTACTAATATGTAGCACCTAAAAATCGTGTCTGGTGCTTAATACTTATTGGATGAATGAAATTTTACAAGTTAAAAATTAAGTTGGTTGTAAATGGTAAAATTGATGCCATTCTTAGTGGTTCTTAACTTTTTTTTAGGATTTATAGATCATTTTGAGAATCTGAAAGTCTCTTCCCAGAACAATGCAGATATACATAAACATTTAGATATAATTTAGGGGGTTCATCAGCCCCTTGAGGAACTTCCATGCACCTCAGGGTTTATAACCCATGGTATGTGTGATGATTTCATATCAAGTTATAGTCTGACCAACTAATAACAACACTGTGCCAGGCACTGTGCTAAGTGCTGTGTATGTCTTAATTCATTACAATATAGTGTTAATGAGACCAAACTTGTGGACCTGAAAGCCTGTTAGCTTTCCACACAAAGCAACATCATCATCTAGCTTTCTGACACATGTAGAACATTAATCACAAGGAGCAAAAAAGAATATTATAGCATCATTTTTGTGTGTGTGTGTGTGTGTGTGTGTGTAATAAGATCAATGCAGGGGTGCATAAACAGCAATAAGTAGTAGGGATTAAGAGTGGGAAATTAGAGAACTAATAAGGAAGAGTGACCTCTAGGAGGATAGACTAGGGTGAGGGGGACAATACAGAGTTCTCTCTGGAAGCAACAGAAAAACCATGGAGGAAGATAAGTAAGATGTTGACTCCTAGCCAGAGAAGTGTTTCTCATAGTTTTCCCCTTCTACAGCCAAATTGGAGAGGTTTCTGCAATGAGTGAGGCTAAGTAGGCAGCAGCTTCTGTATGTATATGGATTCTACAAGGTGAGCAGTAGAAGAGAGGGTCAGTGGGAGATGGCTATCTTCCAAGACAGAGCTAAGGTTTTCCTTTCTACCTCCAATAAACCATGCATGTTTTGTGGAAGCACTTATTACCTGTTTTCTTGCCAATTTACTTATTTTTGTCTTCTCACTATAATATAAACTCCTATGAGAATAGGGATCTTATCCATCTTATTCACTACTGTCTCATTCATTAGCCCCAATGCCTAAATGGTACCTGGCATATAGCATGTGCCCTATAAGTATTGAATTAATGCATTTTGAAAAGTTGCCTATTTGTTCCAGATAAATATCTTGTGTTAGCTAAGTGATCTACGTATGGCCATGGTCCCACACAGATTAGATCCAAACACCAGGTAAAGATTCTGGTATAGGGAAACCCACATAAACCACACCATCTGTTATTTAGTTTCTTATCCAAGTGTGCAGTTGTGAAGAAATGTATACTTGGATGCATATACAACTGCCACTTTTGTGAAGGGTATATTAGAAAAATGAGGGGGCTGGCCAACTAGCTCAGTTGCTGAGAGCACAGTGTTGTAACATCAAGATCAAGGGTTTGGATCCTCATACTGGCCAGCTGTAAAAAAAAAAAAAAGAAAGAAAAATGAGGGGATTGTATGTGTGTTTTTGTTTGTTCTTGCTCATTTTAAAAATAGAACTTGATTTGATAGTAGGTGATTAAATATTTCCTTTTATCTGAATTATGTGATTATTGAATGTTTGATGTCAAGTAAGCCTCAATATTATCAATCCAAATGTTTCATGACAAGTAAGCCTCAGTATATAAATGTAATTTTTTTAATAAACAGAACTACCAATGAAATAAAAAACCTTCAGTACCTACCTCGAACCAGTGAGCCCCGTGAGATGCTTTTTGAAGACAGGACAAGAGCCCATGCAGATCATATAGGACAAGGTTTTGAGCGACAGACTACAGCTGCTGTTGGAGTGTTGAAGGCTGTGCACTGTGGAGAGTGGTATATACATACTACTGCTACTTTAATGACAGGGTTTTTTTGGCTTCTAAAAGTTTTCTTGGAAAGTTTCTTAGTAAATTCTCCTTACGTTGGGAAAAATATTTCATTTTTTTCATCCAGTATTTGGATATACTCATTGTATAATTGCACTAAAGAAGATTTTAAATTGCTGTAATGTAATTTTAGTCATTTGGGTTGACTGAAGTAATTAACTTCATTTTCTAAGTGACTTGAGGTGAAAAGAATTAAGGTAAAAGGAAAACTAAGGTTAACTTGATGCTTTCTGTATGGCTGTTTACAAATGTCATCTCATTTAATTTTCTCAACTACTTTTTGGCCCATATTTATCACACAGGAAACTGAGGCTCCGGGCTGTCATATGACATTTTTCCAGTCATATATTTATTACATGATAGTGCTGAGACTGATTTCAGACTTGACTGCAGACTCTTGTGTTTTTCCTTTCTTCTGTTCTACTTTGCTGCCCCTTTTCTGAGATTTGGTATCTGTTTATTAAGTATTTGTTTGCCTTTCTTTGTTTTTCCCAGCATTGCTTACAAGTTTTACGTTGAATATTTTGATAGTTTAAAAAATAGATTATTCTTTTTAATATACTTATGGTGTCATCCCATACATGTAGTAACTTTCCATTTATTAAGTTGATAAAACACATATAACAAAGCTATAATTATACTGTAAGGTAAGTTTTCTCAGATTTTTTTTCTCTCTTTTTTTCTCACATCTCAAGATCATTGGGTATGATTTTTGTTTTTCAAATTGAGTATTGTTTGGGTATTAAACATGAGTTGGTGTTTTAGTCCGTTTTGTGTTGCTATACAGAAATACCTGAGACTGGGTAATTTATAAAGGAAAGAGGTTTATTTGACTTACGATTCTGGGACAGCTGCATCTGGCATGGGCCTCAGGCTGCTTCTGCTCATGGCAGAAAAGCGGCAGGTAGCCAGCGGGTACAAGCAGATCACATGGCAAGAGGAAGCAAGAGAGAGAGGCAAGAAAGAGAGAGAAGGTGCAAGGGTCTTTTTTAAGCTTTTTTAAGCAACGAGCTCTCGCAGGAACTAATAGAGCAAGAATTCACTCATTAATCCCCCCTCCCCCAGGGAGAGCATTAATCCATTCATGAGGGATCCGCCCCCATGACTCAATCAGTTTCCAGCACTGCCACATTGGAGATCAAATTTCCACATGAGTTTTGGAGGGGACAACACATCCAAACTCCATCAGTTGGAATATGCTATTTTGCATGTTAAAGCACTTGAATTAGATATTAAATAAGCAAGAAACTTTTCTAAGTAAAAATAAACCATTTTAAATTCTGAAAATATAAAATGTCATATTGTTGTATAGTTTTTTAAGGTTTAATGAAAAATATATCCTGTATTTTTTACACATAAGGAAATGTTATTTTCATGGGCTTTATTAGTACCAGATTGACCCTTTGTTAAAAAGGGAAAATTTATAATGATATTTTATAAATATTAAGTGGGGGAGAAGGCCATTGTAAACTGACCTTCTTTCTTAAAATAAATGAAGCTTTATCAATCTCAGTATACAAAGTAGTAATACTGAACTAACTGTAAGAAATCCTTAGGAAAACAATATTAATAGTTTGTAATTCAATAACAATCTATAATTGAGTTATATTTAAGTGGTAATTTTCAAATGTTCATGGTTGTTCTCATATAGTTTCTATACTCTTCCTATAATCGAGTTTAAAGTATTAATTTTAGTTTACTGCCATACCATCCTGAAAGTGCCCGATCTCATCTAAAATATTAATATTGTCAAAGACTAAAGGCAAATTTGCTTCTGTAGAAATCATTATAAATTTCTCTTTTAAATTAACGTGGTTTTTCTTGAATGTTTGGTATAATGGACTTCAGAGTGGCATTAAGATTTACTTAGGATAAAATCTGATTTATAAATAGTATTCAATAAAGTCAGCCACATATTTAGATTTCCTCTCGGAGAGAAATATTTCCACCTCAGAAAGCCTCAGCCCTTTGTTTAAATCTCCTTTAAGCTTCTTTAAATTATTGTTGGTATGTGCTCTCTCTTCTACTTTATATGTGACTTGAGATTATAGATTGTGTCCTGTCCTTCACAGGCCCACCATAAGTCCCAATAAATATTTGTTGAATAAAAAAATGACTTGTGAATTTACAATTTGTGAATTAAAGTACAGTTTCACAGTGAAAAGGACTCACCAAACTATCAAATATATCAGATGACCAGATTAAAAGATTTGTTTGAAACAGATTTTGGAATGAGATATTGCTAGCTGTGTTTTCTTACTATTACAAAATACAGTTTGCTTCCTATATCAATGCTACTTGAATCTCTTAACACTAAATATGGCAAGAAAGTAATTTTGTTAGTGTTATAGGAGGGCTTTCTGACTCTGATGCCAATGTGGCCTATAATCCTTTTATTATTATTCCTTGATGTTAATTTAAGCTATATTAAGGAAGTTGTTGCCTTTCTCATTTTCCTTATCTTAGGGTTTTGAGTTTTTCTCGTTTTCTCAAGACATTAGGTCTTAGGGTATTAGATTCTTGATTTTATCTTAGAGCCAGGCTTAACACTAACTTAGAAGAAAAGATTGGGATTGATTTAGACTACAAAGAAATGTCCAGCTAAATAGGGACAAGGCTTGTGAATTATTGATCAAATTGTATAACTCTTTAGGCATTAAAGACAAGATTTACATAGATTTATATATTTGAGGTTGCTTCTTTGAAATCCAGTTTAAAAAACATTAACTTTACTGAAGTATAATTTATATTCAGGAAAACACACACTGATTTTAAGTGTACAGTTTGATGTTTTTGACATGTATAAAGCCATGTTACCATTACCACAGCTAAGATATAGAACTTTACCCTCATACTCCTTGACAGTTAACAACCCCTGTCCTTTCCTGTGCTCCATTAATCTACTTTTTGTCCTTCTAGGTTAGTTTTGTCTAGTCTAGGATCTCATGTAAATAGAATCTTATACGTGCCTGACTTTTTTCACTCAGCATGACATTTTTGAAATTCATCTATATTATTACATGTATTAGTAGTTTTTTCCTTTTTATTACTGAGTAGTACATTATTTTATGGTTTATCCATTTGCCTGATGATGGATATTTCAGTTGTTTTCAGTTTGGGGTTTTTATGAATAAAGCTGTTATGGACATTCACTTACAAGTTTTTGTGTGGACATATGATTTTATTTTCAGTAAAAACATAGGAGTGTAATTATAGGGTGTTAGGGTAAGGCAAAATAATAGTACACAGAGAAAATTTTAAACCTATAAAACTAGTACTAGAATTAATACTCAAATTTGTCAAAGTCACAGGATAAGAGACCAATATAGGAAAGTGAATTGTATTTCACAACATTTACAAGCAACAAACATTTGGAAAATGAATTAAAAGGCATGTCCAATAGCATTAAAAAACCATGAAATGCTTGGAGATAAGTTAAAAAAATACACAAGACCTGTACTGAAAACTAATATTCTGTCAAGAAAAATTAATGAAAACTTACATAAATGTAAGGTTATACTTTTTTTATGAATCAAAAGACTCAATATCATTAATAGTTTTTTCCCAAATAATCTATAAATTAACTCAATCCTAATCAAAATCCCACTAGGTTTTCTTGTAGAAATACAAAGGACCTAGTATAGGCAAAACAATGTTGGGGGGGGAAAGAACAATGTTGAAGGATTTTACACTGTCCTTTTATATCCTACTGTGAAGCTACAATAATTAAGACAGGGTGGTATTGGTATAAAGTAAAACTTACAGATCAATGGGATAGAAGAGTTTACAGCAATAAACTCATCATTGATTTTTGACAAAGGTGCCAAGATAAGTCAATGGAGAAAGAAGTCTTTTTTCAAGAAGTAGTGCTGTGACAACAGGGTATCACATGCAAAAACAAAAAATAAGAACAAACCTTGACACATTTTACACCATACAAAAAAATTCAAAGGGATCATAGAACTAAATGAAACCATTAAAACTATAAAACTTCTAGGAGGAAAGAGAAAATTTTGCATTGGGCAAAGATTTCATGAATCATAAAATAAAACTGATAAACTTGGACTTCATCAAAACTAAAACTGTCTGCTCTTCAAATGATACTGTTAAGATAATGAAAAGGCAAGACACAGGTTAAAAATGCATGTTACAGACAAGTAATATGCATATGATTTATATCCACATATAAAGAACTCTTACAATTCAAAAATAAGAAAGCAACCCAACTAAAACTGGGCAAAAGACTTCAACAGACATTTTACAAGAGAAGATATACAAATGCCCAATAAGCACATTAAAAGATGTTCAATATGGGCCGGCCCCATGGCTCACTCGGAAGAGTGCGGTGCTGATGGCGCTAACGCTGCGGGTTCAGATCCTATATAGGGATGGCTGGTGCGCTCACTGGCTGAGTGTGGTGTGGACAACACCACGCCAAGGGTTACGATCCCCTTACTGGTCAAAAAAGAGAAAAGATTATCAATATAATTGCACCATAAGGGAAATGCAAATTGAAACCGTGAGATAACATTACATCCCCTCTCAAATAGCTAAAAAACAATAAAAAAAGACAGTAGCAAAATCTAACCAGGATGTGTATTAACCAGAACTTTTATATACTGCTGTGGGAACTGTAGAAAAATTAGATTAAAAATTAAGTTGTCTTAAAATTAGACATACCTAAGAAACTGTAATTCTTTAATTCTATTGCTTTTTCTGGGATTAATTCTGTTGCTTTTTTTTGGCTATTCTGTATTATATATATCATATGTGCTATGATTATGTTATATATAATATTTGGTATATACATAATACATGCTCTATATGATACATGCCATATAGAATATATACCACATGTAATCATGTATATATCATATATATTACATATACATACCTTGCAATTCTGTATTATGCAGATCATATATATGATCATATACATATCATATCTATATCATGTATATGATATATATATACATGCTATAACATGATATAATATGTGTGATAAAATATATATGATACTATGTTATATATAGTGCTGGATTCTATTTGCTAATATTGGTAATGATTTTTGTTTATGTTAATAAGTGTTGCCAAAGTGTATTACTTTTATCGATCTTTTCCAACAGCTGTTTATTTCATTGATTATTTTCTTATTTTTCTTTTCTGGTTTTCATTTTCTTTTTGAAGAAAAGGATTTGCTCATTTACTAATTTAAGTTGGAGGCTTAGATGATTGATTTGAGACCTTTCTTCTCTAAGTATTTAAAACTGAATTTCTGAGCACTACTTTAGGTACATTTCACAAATTTTATAATGCATTTTTATTATTATTCAGTTGAAGATATTTCTTATTTCTCATTCGATTTCTTTTTTATCCCATGAATTATTGAGAAGAAGAATGTTTAGTTTCCAATATTTGAGGATTTTTCCAGATGTTTTTTTCTTGGGTTTTTGATTTATAACTTAATTCCCTTGTGGTCAGAGAACATAGTCTGTATGATTTTAGTTCTTCTTAATTTCTTGTGGTTTGTTTTATGGATTGTCTTGATGAAAATTCTATGTCCACTTAAAAGAATGTATATTTTACTGTTGTTTGGGGTATAGTACTCTAAGAATGCCAAGTAAATCAACTTTGTTGATACTATGGGTCAAGTCTTCTGTGCCCTTCTTGATTTTTAATCTACTTGTTAATCTCCAACTCTAACATTGGATTTATTTCTCCTTTCAGTTTTCCAGCTTTTGTTCCATGTATTTTTTCCTTTCTAACAGCTTTATTGAGATATAATTCACATATCATACAATTCATCCATTTACAATGTATGATTCGATGGTTTTTAGTACATTCACAGAGTTGCGCAAACATCACCACAGTTATAGAATATTTTTATCACCTCAAAAAGAAACTCTTTAACTGTCACCTTACCCCCAATCCCCAATCCTCCATCCTTCCCCATCCTATGCAACCACTAATCTCTTTTCTGTTTCTATTCTGAACATTTCATATGTATGGAATCACGTAATATATGATCTGTTGTGATAAACTTCTTTCACTTGGCATAGTGTCTTAAAGGCTGTTTCATGTATTTTGAAGCCCTGTTATTAAGTGACTACACATTTAGAGTTATTACTTCTTCTTGGTGAATTGAGCCCTTTATCATTATAAAATGACCTTCTTATCCTTGGTAACATTTCTTTCCTGAAGTCTAGGTCTGATGTTAATATACCCACTCCAGCTTTCTTATGATTTGTATTTGCATGTTATATGTTGTCTCATTATTTTTCTTTTAACCTATCTGTGTGTATATATTATTGCACGTAGATATCATATAGCTGGGTCTTGCTTTTTATTTTTTAATCCAGAGATAATCACTGACTTTTAATTTGAGTATTTAGACCATTTATATTTAATATAACAATCAGATTTGGATTTAAATTTACCATCTTGCTCTTTTCCATTTGCCTCTTCTATTCTTCATTCCTTTCTCCCTCTTGTCATTTTTAGCATTCCATTTTACCTCCACTGTTTGCTTACTAGCTATAGCTGTGTGATTGATTGATTTGCTCTAAACTTACCACAGTCTATCTTCAAATAATATTATGCCTCATTATATAATGTGTAAGGACCTTTTAACAGTATACTTCTACTTAATTACCCCTCTCCTCCCCCTCCATTTCTGGCCTTTGTGCGAATTGTTATCCTATATTTTATTTTGCATATGCCATAAACCCTATAGAATGTTATGACTTTTGCTTTAAGGAATTATTTCTAAACAGATTTTTTAAATGAGAATAAAATATCTTTTATATTTATTATTATGTGTGCTCTGTATTCCTTTGTATAGGTCTAACTATCATTTTCCTTCAGCCTGAAGAAGTTCCTTTAATATTATTTGTTATGCTGGTCTTCTGGTGACATATTCTCTCAGCTTTTGTCTAAAAATGTTTTTATTTTACACTTTTGAAGGATAGTTTTGGTGAATGTAGAATTCTAAATTGACTTTTTCTTTTGATACTTTAAAGATGGCCTGTTCTCTTCTGGCTTGCATTGTCTTTCATGAGAATTCTGCAATCATCCTTCACCTTCTTTCCCTGTATATAATATAATGAATGATTTTTAGATTTTCTTTTTATCACTGGTTTTCAGAAATTTGATTATGATTTGCCTTGGTATGATTTTCTTTGTATTTATGTGGCTTGGAATTTCATTCCAAAATCCATTTTTAAGAACCTATGGTAAAAATGTATTTGTATATTTTTAATTAATTGAAGGATTTGGGAATTTTTTAGAGTTATATTTAAAGACACTAATAACCCCAGTGAACACCAATAGTTTATTTTATTAGTACTTTTCTAATGAATGTTTCTTTATTTATTAGGAGTTATTTAAGGGTTTTATGCATCAGTGCAGATCTATGTATCTGATATGGAAAGAAAATATTCCCTTTTCCCCTCATACTTCTAATTTTATGAAGTATTGATATTAACTTTAAGACAAAACACTTAGTTTTTTTGGGTTTGTATAATTTACTGATTTAAATCATCTTAATATTTCAAAATCTTGTGACAAATAGCTACAATAAAATGAAGTGACCTGTTTTTAGTCTGTGGTTAGGTTGAAACTAATGGTGTCAGCCCTTTCCTAAATATGTAAAGTGGTTTTCCAATTATAATTTTATTTATTTATAAGATAGTACTTTGGTATTGATCATAAACTAGTTTTCCTTTGAATTTAATAAGAACTTAACAGAGTGAAACATAAAAGGCAGATTCTTCATTATCTCATTTTTTTTTTTAGGCCTGATCAACCCCGAATAACCAAAGATGTAATTTGTTTTCATGCTGAAGATTTCTTAGAAGTAGTTCAACGAATGCAGTTAGACTTACATGAACCTCCACTGTCCCAGGTATATTTTAAACAAGTATTGTCTGTAGTTTAGTTTTTATGGTGGAAAAGACTTATTAGTATTCCTTGTTTCTTTTTTTTAGTGTGTCCAATGGGTTGATGATGCAAAACTTAATCAACTGAGGAGGGAAGGCATTCGCTATGCCAGGATTCAGCTGTATGATAATGACATTTATTTTATTCCAAGGAATGTTGTTCATCAGTTCAAGACAGTTTCAGCTGTATGTAGTTTAGCATGGCACGTTCGGCTCAAATTATATCACTCAGAGGAGGACAATTCTCAGAATACAGCCACTCATGAAACAGGCACATCACCAGATTCCACATCAACAGTTCTTGGACCTCACACTGACAACATGATTTGTGCTGTAAGCAAAACCTCCTTGGATTCTGCGTTTTCAGACAAACTTCATTCTAAATACGAATCACAGCAGATTAAACATGAACCTATTGTATCTGTAAGAATCAAAGAAGAACCTGTGAATGTTAATATTCCTGAAAAGATTAGAGCATCGAATAATATGGATGGCAAGAATGTTAAAGCAAAATTGGATCATGTTCAGTTTACAGAATTTAAGATTGATGTGGATTCTAAATCTGAAAATAGCAACAAAGACTTAAAGGAAGAATTGTGCCCTGGAAGTCTCATAAGTCTAGTTGATACAAGGCAACATAGTTCAGTACATTCAAATCAAGATAGAAAAGATGATGACATTTTGTGCTAAATTTGTACATACCATTTAAAATTCTTCTTTTTTAAAAAAATTTAATAATGTAATAAATATTCATGAATTCTGAAAGCAAGCCAAGGACTTGCTCCCAGACGAAATATAGTTTATGTAGCTTTGTAACATTCCTCAGTGCCTGTCCATAACTGTGAAGTATCAAGCACTTAGGGCCAGATGCACTGTAAACATTGCAGGTTTAAACATAAAGGAGTCTTCAAAAAAATCATTTGAGTGCGAGTTGTAGGTTTTAGGATAGAGCTGACACTAATATATGTGTATATAATTTTTTTTTTTTTTTTGTAATATGAGCCAGGATTCTTTTTGACAATTTAAGGCTTTTCCATAGATATTATTTATATCAAAAAAAAATTTTTTTTTCATTTTAAATGTGTCAGCACTGTAGTGTAAATAGGTTTTAAAAAATCTTTTTAGTGTGATTTATACTGAAATGTGAGCCACTTGATAAAGGTTCATAATAATATGTTTTCTGTTGGGTTTGCAAAGACAAACTGACAATTTAGTTTAGTCATTTGTTTGGTATATAATGATTCTCTGATGGTATATCCATTTAGAATGGTAATGGAGTGCAAATGTATGTATTCATATCTAGTAAATATTTAAATTCCCTACACTGTGCAAGCATTTTTAAACACCAAGATTCAGTTATGAAAGCATATAATGTGTGTGTGTGTATGTATGAGAATGTATATATGTAATATCATATTTTGCATAATTTCTTAAGTTGCTGAATAAGATGAGTATGTGAAATTTCTTAGCCCTACTTCCTGGAATACATTTTAAAATATTTATATTCAACATTAAGAAAGCAGTTTAGGTAATAGAAACAGTTTTAGAAAGTTGGTGAAATAAGGTATGTTAACGATACCTAACTCTTCTAACTAATGAAGTTATGTGGCCAGATTACATAGCCCTAACATAAATTTTCTTTGTTGTGTATGGAATGATAAGCTTAGAAAATCTTCTTAGTAATAAGCACCTGTATTATACTTAATAGTAGCTGAGTAAAAAAATTTTTAGTTACAGAAAAATTAATTGTAATTAAAATCCTTTTTTACATTTTTCTTGAAGAATGGGAGAAAAATATGGCAAATACAAAATTGTAAAATAAGGGCAATGATGAGTTAACTGCCATATACAGAGACATAGCTAACAAAATACTATGTGGTACCTCATTTTTCTCAGGATTCCCTCCTTACCCTAGCAAGGCAAACAACTGGGAATGCTTCCTTTTCAAAAGAAGCTGTAGAAAGTAAATTGAGGTAGGAAATGGGATTGCAAGTGCCTAACTAAAGATAAATAAAACAAATCTCTTTAATGGTGGACTTCAGCACTATTTCAGACTGCTTCCACTACTGTTATTAAAAGTCACAAGTTTTTGATGTATGTGTTGATGTAAGGAACTCCACTCATTACAAATCCATTTTATTTTATTTTTTTTTTGGTATTCTGATCCCATACTTTATTTGATGATTTTTAACTGGGGTTCTTTGTGCTACCTTTTGGGCTACTGTTGCTATTTCCATTTCGGTGGTTTCTGTTCTGGCCTCATAGGTGATACACATTGAAACTGCTCATGTTTCTGGTTAGGGAGAAGCCAATTAGAAAGAGGCATTTCACGAGAACAAATAAAAATTAACTGCAGTAATGTTGTCAGTACTGGGCCCCAGTTTATTAATTAAAGGTTGGCAAATATTGTAGGAAATCTTGATGGTTTGTGGGAAATCAGTATGTTTGCAACAAAGGAAGTTTCATGGCATAGGGAAGATATAAATCATGATAATGTAAATAGGAATTTTGTTATATATGTCATTATCTTATCCTGCTCCCCACCTATTTAATCTTCTGTTTTAAGCTAAATTTATGGATTTACACCAACCTTTTTGGGAGACAAAAATTAACAAACCAGTATTGAAAAATAAGAAGAGATATGGTTAAAATGTTTTTTTTTCTTTTTTAATTAGTGGGTGATACATTTAATAAGGTGTGTTTCATTTTCAGTTTTTCAGTAGCACATACATAGATGCTTTGAGGTCAGACCGTAAGAAAATGTCTTTAGGATATCCCTCTAAAATATATGAGCCTTAAACTAGAAGGTATATCTTAAACAACCATGGTGGTTTTGTTTAGGTATGGTTTCCTATATAACCTATAGCCAAACTTACCCATAATTTAAAAGTTTAATTGTTTTGTAAAATGCATGTATCTCTGTGGAGGTGAGGTATAAATCATTGGGCTCAAAATTTCAGGATACAGCCTTGTTATCACCTTGAATTATGCTTATGTTCCTTGTCTTACGGGTTATAATTTTAAAATCCTCTTCAGATGCAATCTGAGAACTTGTTCACTACCTTTGTTACACACAAAAAATTTCTCTTTTAATGTTGCATATTATATTAATGGTTTCCTAGTTAGTACATTCCAGTTCTTTATCTGAATACAAGTTTTTTTGCTTTTATTTCCAGTTTCTTGGACCAGAACAATAAAGCACTTAAGGTATGTTTTCTATATGGTTATATACTATATAGAATAAATGTTATGTAAATTAGATGGGTATACAGACCATTACATAAAAACTAAGGTACCTCAGTAGTGTCTACTCCAGTGCTTTTTTTCTTTTCTAATTTTGTTTATACCCTTTTAGCTATCTAATTAATATATATTCCATACTCAGGTTAGCTGGTTAGCTAGCAAAAGAATTAAGCATTTGTGATATTTAGTTGCAAACTTTACTAAAGCCATATTCATTATCTTCCTTGTCACCAAGGCTGTTGACCTTAAATAAAGATTAAGGTGATCTAGCACAACACTGTGTATGGGTGTGTGCATGCATGTGTGTGTTTCTTTGTGTGTAAGTTTGTTGGAAATATTATGTTTGTTTCCACATATATTCATTTTTAATCCATTCTATAACTTTTGGGGGAGGGGGTGCGATGTGGAGGGTAGGAAAGATTTTGTTTCTTAGCTTAAGTCTTTAAGGTTTTTCATTAATTTTTTTGAGTGTAAAACAGTTTTTTTCCCAAATACTTATTGCAGGTAATAAGATTTTTGTAAATAATAAATTAGCACTGTTTTGGTAAATTTGCGTTCAGTTATTTTTTGGACAAGTTCATTGTCATGTAAAGGAAATATCTCAAAATTCACTTTACATTTAGCAAAGGTGCAAGATTTGTTTTTGGAGTTTGAGAGGTATTTTTCTTGTCTTCCACCTTTCAATAAATATGAAAATTGATAACCATAATCTATTTACCTCTGTTTTGTAATTATTTTCTTAAATTTGACATTTTAATCTTGTCATCTTTAAGAGTTCTTATTTTTCTGTCTTTCACAGAAACCATAAAATCTTGAAAGTGATTACAATCTGAAAATCTTTTTTTCACTTAAAAAACTATCAAAAGTTGATTTATGCCAACCGAGGAGAAGCATATTGAGGATTACTTTAAACAAGGTCACAAAACTAGTTAGGTATGGGTGCTGGGAATGGCATGGTACATACGCCCCCCCCCCCCTCACGTGACTATTTGTGTCTCAGGAAGAGAGGACAAAGTGCCATTCTTTTCAAAATACTTTTAGGCTGCTAAAAGTGACATGATGGGTTTTAGGTCTTCATAGTGGTAGACTACTAGCTCTTACTCTTTCTCCCACCTGATGTAACTACTTTGATATGTAAACAATATTTACTTCTTTTAGAATACATTGTCTGTTTCATGAAAGAGGTATGTTTGATATGTTTGGCACCGACAGATGAGATAATTAAGAGAATAACTCAGGAGAGCTCTAAGTCCTTTTGTCTTCTGTCCTGGCTTTTCTGTTCAGTTCTTTCTATAACCCACTGTATACTGCAGATGGAAATGATTGCTTTTTAGAATGTCAAGCACACAGAGCCTAAAAGCAGAGGTGTCTTTCCCTTGTAAGTTTATATCATAAACTTATGTTATTATGACATTGTATATCATATCTCTACTCGTAGATCAGGGAAAGGAGGGCCAAACATCTTGCATTTCAAGTTATCTTCCCTTCCAGCTTTTCCTGGACTTCAGACCCAATCAGGGAATGTGAATGAGCTGAGAACAAAATATGGGCAAGTAGAATTTATGTTAACTAGAAATTAAAAGTAAAATTTCCTACTTGTATGTTTCATTACTATGATCTGCCTACCAAGAACCGCACTGTTAAAATATGAGAACTCTGGATGCTTCTATACCTTTTGAAATTTAGAATTTATACATCAGTGTTTTAAAAATGTTAAGTCTATACTTTCCTATAAAGTTCACTGCTGCTATCTACTTAAGACTATTAAATGTGCAGACTTGGAGGAAAGTCAGTATAGTCAAATACTTTGGGTAATACAGTGTTGAAAATTTGTTAGGACAGTTTGATCTCCCCCCACAAAAGTTTCTTATTTTCTTGAAATTATATTTTTTTAACTGAGCTAGATTTTTATGTAAAAAAATCTCAAGTCTCTCATCTTTAAAAAAGCCATTTTCTTGAGTCTGGCTTTCGTTAATGTTATTGTTCGACCTCTCTGCCTAAGTTCTTGAAAATATCTGTCCACCTTCACTTCCTCATCTTCCGTTCATTTTTCATCTCACTACAATTTCATTTTAATCCTCACATTTAATCACTCAGCTGAAATGGTTTTCTCAAAGGTCACCTTTAGACTGCCAAATCCAGTGGCCGCACTTCTTAGTACTTCTGTTTAACCCTTGCAGCACTTATCAGTCATTTACTCCTTAAAATTTTTTATGACCTGTTCTTTTTTTGTTGTTTTTCAGTTTCTTTGGAAGACTTCTTTTTCCTGTCTACCACTACATAAGGCAATCTCCATGGTCTTTCCTTTAGGCCTCTACACTCTCTCCCTCAGCTATCTTCATGACACCATGACTTCAGCCAGCTGCTTTTTCACTTAAGTTCTAATGATCTATATGGTCAAATCTAAATTATTCTCTTCTGCCTTGCCCTCAAGTGTTACCTGTTCCTTTCCTCCCTAATTTGGTTATTGGCTCACTATTTCTCTGCATAGTCATCTCATAGTAATCTGATTTTTCTTTTTCTTCTGTGTCCAATTTATCATGAGATTTTGAGTTGACTTGAGAAATGTTAATAATTCATCTACTCCTCTTGTCACATCAGTCACAATAAGATGTTCATCTCACCTGGACTCTTGAATTAGCCTAAAATGTTCTAGGCTGCCTGTAGTCCTCTGCCCTTTTCTTCATTATTCCAATCCATTCTTTATGTTACCACCAGATTAACCTTCCTAAAATAGATATGATTGTTACTCTTCTGCTTAAAAATATTTCATGGTTGCTGCTTTCCTAAAGAATAAAGTCCAAATGCTTTGCATAGTACTAGAGAGCCTTCATGATATGGCCCATCCTTTCCAGCCTCCTGTACTAACAGTCTCTTCCATTTGATGTGCCCAATTTTCAGCTTTACCAGGTGGCAGTATTTGCCATTTCCTCCATGTACTTTCAAATTCTTTGCCTTTGCTGGGAAAATATATGGAACACAGCATACTGAAAACTTATTTCTCTTTTCAAAACTCCACTTAAACATCATCTCTGTATTGCCTTTACTCATCTCATCTCCAGCTGTCTCCTCACCTGGTAGCTGGTGTAAAATCAATTCTCTCTGCTTCTTGTCTCCCTTTGTTTACACCATTTAATGTACATATTAGTTAAGTATATGATGGACTCTAGCTAAACCATAAGCTAGAAGTTAGGAATTTTTTCTTTATCATTTTGTATGCCCAACACCTAATATATAGTATACTTGGTGTTCAATAAATATTTGAAGGAACAAAAATTGTTCCTTAGGAGTGGGGAAAATAAATTATGTAGGTTTCTATAATCTAAAACGTCTGTCCCTAACTTAAATTTATGTAACTCTAGAATTGTAACAGAAAGAAAAGTGGAGAAAATTAAAACTGCAGGCACCAAGTTTCTATTTTTTTTTTTTCCTTTTTGTCTTTTTTTTTACTGACCGGCAACGGATCGCAACCCTCAGTGTCGCGCCCGTACCGGACCGGGACCAGCAACGGGATTGCAACCACAGTGCACTGCCTGGGAGCGTGGCGGCGCTCCCGCCGAGGGTTCGGATCCCACAGTGCACTGCCTGGGAGCGTGGCGGCGCTCCCGCCGAGGGTTCGGATCCCCCCTCAGTGTCGCGCCCGTACCGGACCGGGACCAGCAACGGGATTGCAACCCTTGGCGTTGCACCCGCCCCTCGCTCAGCCAGTGAGCGGCCTGTCTGTATGTGGGATCCGACCCCTCGGCGGGAGCGCCGCCACGCTCCCAGGCAGTGCACTGTAGCAGTGCGCCACCAGGCCAGCCCCCCAAGTGTCTATTTTGAACTGCAGTCTTAGGTAGGGATCAAGTTTAAGAAGATAGCTATTATATATCCTGGCCCCTGGGGCAATTTGGAAAGATTAAGTATTGTGACGGACCGGCAACGGATCGCAACCCTCAATGTTGCGCCTGTACCGGACCGGGACCGGCAACGGGATCGCAACCCTCGGTGTTGCCCCCGCACCTCGCTCAGTCAGTGAGGGGCCGGTCTGTATGTGGGATCCGAACTCTCGGCGGGAGCGCCGGCGCGCTCTCAAGCAGCGCACTGTAGCAGTGCGCCACCAGGCCAGCCCCCCAAGTTTCTATTTTGAACTGCAGTCTTAGGTAGGGATCAAGTTTAAGAAGATAGCTATTAGATATCCTGGCCCCTGGGGCAATTTGGAAAGATTAAGTATTGTGTATGACAAAACTGTAAAACTTACCCAACATTTTTTCTTTCAACTAGTTTTTCTGGAGATACACTGAAGGTTATTACAAATTAGAGATAAATTTTAACCATTCCTAAAATGATTGAAATGATAAATACCCTATAAACAGCATCATAGTCTGAGGCAGAGTTTAACTATTTCTGAGTCGTAATTGGTTAAGATAAAGTCTGGTTATCAGAGGCATACTGTTTAAGCTTGTGTGGTTCTCCCTACTGGTATTATAAGTAAACATTAAAAAATTGAAAATATTGAGGCAAGATGATAACCTGCACTAGTTTTTTAAGTCTACATCCA